ACATCATTTCTGCCTACATTAAATAGTTTGTTTATATTTATTTAATTATTTGAATTACTAAAAAATTTTCTTACACGATTAAAATGTCAGCTTTTATTGTTTAAAATTTAATTTCGCATCCATACATTACTTAAGTTCACATTTTTCACTCGTATAAAAAAATTTTAAAATAATTAGAAAGCCTTATTGTGTCTAAAAATTATTTTTAAAATTCGATATTTTAATTTCTATTAGATACTTAAATCTACTTAGAAAAACAAATTTTGGTTCCAAGTTCTATTTTTTAATTCAATTAGGCTCAGTAACTATTAAAAAAAAATCAATGAAAGTAAAAATTCCTTTTTTTTTATTTAGAAAATTGTATATTATATTTTTGACTGCAACAATTTAATGGCGTCATTATGTCGTGAAAAAATTGTATTTTTTTTCTAACTATTTTAAAGCCAAGTTTGAAAAACAAACAATATTTCAAGACCATGTTCAATTTTCACACAGAACATTTAAGCCTTTACTATATTATTGCCTGCATACATATGTATTAAGCATCGATAAATAAATAAAAGTATCACATAACTAATCCTTCCACATTTTTCCAGAAAAATTGCCTTAATTCCAATATAAAATAAATAAATACATCAGTCTTCTATCAAATATCGTTTTAAACTTCAGAAGAAGAAAAAAAACAATCAGCAGTAAATTATCTTGATCAGAATTTCCCCAACGTAAAATATCCATTGAAGTTCGCGACGCACATTACGAGGAAATGAGATCATGATGACGACAACAAATGACGTCATAAAAGGGAATAACACTTCTTTTTCACTGGCTGAAATGCGTTCGCTTTATTTTACTTGAAAAAGTAAGATAGTAGATAGCAAGATAGTGTTCCTAAAATTGTAATAATAGGATAACTCCTGTCATTTTTGACATGATGACTGATGTCATTGATGACTATCACTTTTAAATAGCGTATGACAATGACGGGCGTAGTTCCAGTATGTCGTCATTGTTTACATTGTTCGAACTAATTTACCGTTAAGTTCGAATTGTAATCAACGAAATCAAAATTAATAATTTTTAACTAGAAAATTAAAATAGTTTCAATAATAATACTCGCAGTTTTACTTAATTTATTTTACGATAAATATATTATTAACTACAAATATATTTCAAAATTCTAAACATTTTTACAGTGTACTTGAAAATTTTGTCACTTCCTATAGGTGGGAAGGAAAGCTAAACACTTTCAGTATGTCACTGATATTTTACGTGCCATATTCAGAGTAAATTTTTTTCAACACGTTCCTATTTTTTCTGAGTTGTACTTTTTATCTGATTTTTTTTTCGAGCTCTTTATTATCGCTATTATTTGCCTTGTTTTTTTTAGTGCATTTTTACTCGTGCCGAAATTTTTTAATCGTCGTTTTGTAAATCAGAGAATCGAAAAAAGTTACAACGCTTACAATTAACAGTTCCCTTTCTTATTTTAAATTAAATCAATAATCTTATTGAATTTTTTCTTTTTCCTGCTCTTAATAGAGTACACCCCCTCCCTTTTTTTTTAAAGTTTTATTTTAAAATTTGAATGTAATTTGTTAAATTTCAGAATCGAACAAAATTACAGCCCTTATAATTTTTAACTCTCTTTCTACTTTCTTTAGTTTGATTTATTATGCATTTCGCTTAGTTTATTAGGGTACATAAATCTTCTTCTCAACTTTAGAATTTATATACTAAATTAGAAAATCTAACGTTATTTCAATATTTAATATTTTTAATCTTTTTTTTTAAAAAAAAAAATTAGATCTTTAATAAATATTATAATTAGATTTCAGAATACTTTGTTCCCATTCCTGTGATTTTTAGAGTACTTTTTTTTAACCAATACAGTTTTTTTGCGAGTTAGAGAATCGAACAAAATTACGACACATAATTTTTTAGTTCCCTTTTTTGCTTTTTATTTAAATTGTAAAATTTTATATTTCCTTAATTTAATTTTCATTGTAGCTTTTTTACGTGTATTTTTTATCCATACATATCGTTATCTTGTCAATTTTCGAATCAGTGTGTTAAATTAGAAAAACGAACAAAATTACAGCTCATATTATTTCATTCTCTTTCTTTCTCCCGTACTTTATTTTTATATGTATCTCATTTAATTTCAAAATTGAAAAAGATTTTTGAGTACGTTTTTTCTATACTTATGTACTTATCAATATCCAAATAAATATGTTAAATTAGAGAATCGAACAAAATTACAATGCTTATTATCCTTAATTCCCTGCCCTCAGAGCGTAACAACAGGGGTTAGATCACATTAAATGGGAAGAGCAGAATCCAATCATATTAGTCATTCCCCTTCACCTATGATGCGTAAAATATAAAAGGGGGGGATACGGTGGTGAGGGTAACAGAGAGGGTCCATTGATTGCTGTAAGTAGCGGATGTTGACAGAGCATTGGTTGACAGTCCTGTTAGAAATGATAAGCGATAAATCTCGTGGTGAAAAACAATGGAAGAGGAAGTTAGACTCCATTCTGTCACCTCTGGCGGTAGATCTTGGCGGCTATTGGATTGTTTAAGCTCACAAAACCTAAAGAAATTTTTTTTTATTTTAAACAGGAATTTTTCTTGTTCTACCCCACCTACGAATTTTTAATACCTGAGGGCAACCCCCACCCCCAATGTCTCCTGGCTAATGTCATTGTTAATGATGAAGTTCATTCATATTTACTTAATTTCCACCACTATTAAGTGGATGATGTGTTTAATAATATCTGAAATGTTTAAAATGAAATCGTTTGCACAGATTAGAAGTATTACACGGACAATAGGATAATATAGGTTATGGTTGGGGGGAGGTTTAAAGGTTTTATTGTAAAGCATTTTATTGACTGCTCAGAGAATATTTTCACTGTGAGGGGGGGGGGGCGGATTTACCATTTAGAGCGTTAATCCGTTACACGCAATGCTACATATCTTCAATTTCTGTGCTTTTATTTGTGCTTGATTCAAGTTGTTTTGCTGTACGTAGCACATCGTATACTCTACCCTTTGTTCGGCTACATTTTTAATTGTTCTTTTTTTTCCCAGTTTGGTTATTCATTTTACAGAAAAATTTTCTAAAATGTGGTCGATTCTTATAAATTGTAATAAATTAAATAATTAGAAATTACGTAATTAATGTACCAACGAAATGATGTAACAGTGCAGCTGTGAGTTGATGTAAATAACTTGCGAAGCATAGTGTTTTCTAATGCTTCATTTTGATTATAAAATATTTTTTTAAAAAAGTAAATGTCTACAATAGCGTGTTTTTTTTATAAATTGTTTTCAGTAAATTAAAATTACTTGGTAAATTTAACGGGTCCCTGTAAATTAGGAGGCTCTAGGCCCAGCCTATCAGATCTTATTGAAAATCAGATAACGTTCAGATTAAAGAATTAATGCAAATTTTATAAATTTCGAAAAATAATAATAAAATTAAAATTTAATTTGTAATGAAAGATCTTTTTTAATTTTAACAAGCTTTGAAATGCATGATTTATATTATTATAAAATAATATTGCTTTATGACTATTCAAATATTTGTCCTCAATGCTAATTTAAGGATTTTTTTTTACCGTAGACTGTGATTTAAAGAGATTTCCATTTTTCTCACATTCTGCTTATAGTTAACTAAATTTCATGATAAGAAAAGAAATGCCTGTTATCTGTTTTATTAGCAAAATTATAATTATTACTAACACTGAAGTAATTTAATTTATTAATTACTGAAATAGACTTTTCAAATGTTCACTGCGTTATTTTCTTCTAAATGACTTGAACGATGTAATTATAACATTTAGCAACATAATAACATTTAGCTCAAAGTTATTATGTTGGTTAGCTTCATTCAATAGCAAAATACACCTGTTGTCATGTCAATGTTAAAAATATCATTATTATTAACAAAGTAATAAATGTAATAACTATTGTATTAATATAGGTTTTTCAAAATTCCACCGTGTAGTTCTACTCCGAATTCCGTAAATAGATGTCCATTTTTCCAATATGCAGATTAAAGTTATTATTTGTTTAACTTCGTGCTGAAACGTCTTAGCCATTTTCTTTTGTTGTTTAAATTATAATTATTGTAAACAATAAATTTATTAATTGACTGTTTTTTATTTATAATTAATAATTTTTTTTTATTAGTTATGGACTTTTAAAGCTCACCCCTTCTGAATTAACACTAAAGTTATACATTTAGTAATCATTACATTTAGTTATACATTTAGTGTTAAAATATACTTTTCGAAATTTCATCGTGTAGTTCTCTTTTGATTCCGTAAATAGATGTCAACTTTTCCAACATGCAGCTTAAAGTTGTTATTGTTCGTGCAATAACGGAAAACGATCATTATTGTAAACAATAAATTTATTAGCGAATGTTTATTAGTTATTCATTAGATTTTTGTTAAAAAATCTACCCTTCTGAATTCAATTTGTTTCTACTCTGAGAAAAAATAGTATGGTCAAAACTTCCAGAATATGGTAAAATTTACCGTGTTTTTTACCGATGCGCTTTGATAATGATTTCGGTAAAATGAACAATTAAATATGGTCTTGTATTATGTGACAAACTTACTATGCAGTGCTTCCCAAACTTATGACTTGTGTACCCTTTCTAAATTTTTCGTAACGCTGTGTACCACTAATAAAAAAATGAATGTATTTTTTACTATAAAATTTTTTTACGAAAGTTAAAAATCACAACTGGCTGTTGACACCACTAATTATTAACTGTTAACTCTGCAAAAAATAGCCAATAGAAAAGTACGTAATCGTAAATTTTCATGGTTAGTTTTGTTTTTAAACAAAATATTTTGCAATTTTCGTTTGATGCATCGCATAAAAACGCGTACTCCCGCTAAACTGATCCCGTACACCTGGGGTAGAGAGCACTCTAACCTGGGGTTACGGGTACCACACTTTGGGAAACACTGCATTAGAGCAATCCGGTAAACCGTTACCACATGAACGGAAAAAATATCAAATGAATGTTTTAAATAACGCATATTTTGGTTTTTGTTACCAGAATTCTGGTTCTCTTTACTAGAAGTGCCATTACCATAGAGTGTTGTAATTTTACCAGATTTTTTTTCTTCTTTTAAATACAAACTACTTTCTATACTTTGCGAACGCTCTGATACCAGACAGCAACAAGCTGTTTGTGGTGTAATCAGTAGCTGCTACACTTTTCCAGTCGCTTTTGTCGCAGATGGTAGACCAGTTATTTTATTTCATTTTTTTTCTTTTCACCTTTCGCTTGATCGTGTGCCTCAAATATCCTTGGCCAGGTGCAAATACTGATTGAAGCGACAGCTGTTTAATCGGGAACTCCAATTGCGGGTTCTTATTGGAAGAAAATACTGCACGTTCAATTCTTTTCTTCGTAGGAACAGCTTTCCTTCAAATATGCCCTAAAAATAAAAACAATGAGTCTAAAATACCTTCTTTCGCGTATATGACAAAATTAAATGATGAGGATTTTTTTTTATTATTATTTGTCATACAATCTTGAAAGTTTTAATCATGCTAATACATCGCAAATGGAACAAGAAGTAGTTAGGAAAAATGGGCAAGTTCCCCGACAAGGAGTGTTTAGGAGCCCTCATCTAACTGTTCTGACAATTGCGTTCGAAAACTAACTGAAAAGTTGAATCGGTTTTCATCTTAACCATTTGATGCAGGGTGTCCCTTTATATATATATATATATATATACACACACTCACTCCAGTCACATTAANATATAAAGCGTCCCTTTTATATATATATATATTCTGACGCTCTAATTACAAGCAAAAATATATTTATTTCGGTATTTTTCAATTTTTTAAAACAGTCTGAGAATTACTAAAGCAATCTATTAAATTATCATAATTATATTTGTACTAAAATAAATAATAATAAAAAAAGTTGCTCGAGTTTTTTTTCTTTCATATTCAAAAACTTATGGACAGTTGATTTCATAAATTATAGAAATTTCGATGATGGGTAACTGTTATCCTTTAGATCTAAGTAGCTGCAAATAAGAACAAATATGAAAAGTTATTGTTTGGAATCGGGTACTTGCAGTTCAAGAAGAAGATCACCGATACCCACGCATGTGACCCATGAAATCAGAGCCAGCTGATCATTTATAAGTAAAATGGCATGTTAAAGTTGAGCTAAGTTTCTTCACATAAGTTAGAATGTTACTTCTTCTTCTTCTTAGTCAGCGCAACAGCCACTTGCAGGCCTTGACTGCCTCAACAGCTGACAAATGCCAGCTTCTCCATGACAACACCCTTCCAATTTCTATGTGTTTAATTAACGTGAAGTTAAGTAATTACAGCTCCGTCTCTCTCATCGAATTTGTTGAAATATTCGTTGAATTAATTTGTTATAATTCATTCTCGTCTGCGTCTTTTACTTAAATTAGAGATATTATTTGTTTATGTATTTTGTTGTAACTGTGATGTATATTTGTTTTGTGTTCCTGGCATCTTCGATGCATAATTAGTTTGTTTATGTTCTACATAGTTTCATGCCTGTCTTTCTGTTAAGTAAGAAATTTGTGGAGCGAAAGAATTGAAATCTTTGTGAAAGAATATAGAAGGAGTCACGTAAGAGAATTGTTACTTGACGGAACTTCACACTACGTCACTTGCAGGTATCCCATTGAGCCGTGATTGGAAGTTTTTATCTTTAATGCAGAAAAAAACTCTGATGTTTCATACTGTATTTCAAAATTATAAATTATTAAAAATGCTAAGTGGAATATTTTCCACTAATTTTTACCTGTATTAATGAAAAATATAGAAAAATTTTGAAGAATGTGTTTAATAAAAATTTTGCATCAAAAGGTTAAGAAAAGAGTGGGGATATTCTGTCTTTCTTTTTTTGTTATAAATGAACGATTCTGTGTACAATTCGAATGTCTTGGAAACTTGAAAGCAAACTTTTCATATTAATTCAAAGTATTTTTCAAAGCTGCAGCAACAATATTTTTTTCTCACTTTTACTTCAAAATAAAAATTTATATAAAATATACATTTAGAAATTGAGATTTTGATTGGCGTATTTAAAGTAGAGCGATCAAACCACATTTAGTAGAAATGATCTCTAAGTTTGTAGAAATCGTAAATTTTATTTTATTATTCTACAAGATATTAACTTTTATATTGTAGTTTAGTTTTCTGAAAGAAATATTTAAAATGTTGATAAAATTAATAATATCAAACTGTTATACACCCATTAACCATAAAACGATAAATTTTTTAAAAGTTGAAGAAATTTGGAGCGGGCTCCAACACCTCTGGAACAGACTCAAACTTGAAAATGTTAATCATAATAATTAATAAAAATTTTTTATCCAACTTTTCTTGATACATTAGCAGATATTGAAAAATGAAAGGCTTTTAATTTCTATGTCATTTTAAACGTCAATCGTATTTAATTTTAAAAACAATTGCAGTTATTAAATTAGAAAAAGCTCTTATTTATTACATGATCATGCAAAATTTAATCGCAATGGTTACATGAAAAGTTTTATAATAACGGTATTACGCTTTTTGCTGACATTCTATAATCGTATTTGTCATGCAATCTTATTTGTTTTAATCTCACAAGTTTAATGAAATTTTTAAAAATATGCGAAATTAATCTGAAACACTTGCAGACATTAAATAATTAAAGACTTATTTAAATTAATTTTAGAAGCTATAATCTCACAATTTTATTGAAATTTTAAAAATTAATGGAATTAGTTTGATTCACTTCCTGACTTCCAATGATAAGTGACTTTAATTTATCCCTTAAAGAAAAAATAGAATGTTTTCGCGGTTTCATTTATGACTTATCTATGATGCCTATTAAATGATGAGGCTTAATTTATTTCCCAACCTTTACTGAAAATTTCAATAAATTATCGAAATTTCGAAAAGATTTTATTGATTGGTGATTCGATTTTATTTTCTTAGCTTTCGCTTTTATTTCTTAGGGTCCAATGCTCAATTTATAATTATTGAAACAATTATTATATTTAAATTTGTCATTTAAATAATTATAATGATTTAAACAATTAAAATATTTTAAATTGAGATGTAAACAAATTAATAAAACAAATGTAATATTATAAATTGTGATGTAAATAAATTAATGAAACAAATGCAATATTATAAATTGTTATTGAAAGAATTATAATTATAGAAATAATTACAATATTTTAAATTGTTATTGTAACAATTACAATATTTTAATTTGTTATTGAAACAATTATTGTAATTATAAATAAAAATTTCTTTTTTTAAATGTTGAAAATTTGTAAATTAATGTTACGTAATAATCCTTATTTGTTGATTTTTCTGAAATTATAAATGTAAAAGAGATCTTTTTAAAGGTTCAGTGTAACCGAATCGTTCGTGCCATAGATTGTTATGTCACTACTTGCGTGCGCTGAAAGCTGCATGCATCTCTCAAATATATGGGATTTCCTCCCTGTCGTCGCAGCAGAAAGGTTTATTTGTTAAGTTATTTATTATCAAAGCTCTAGTTTCCTTTTTTTCAAACAACTGGACAGCCAACCTACTATTTTATTTATTTTGGAGTCAACATCTCAATTTTTTTTCTCAAGTGTTAGCACTGCTAATAAAGTGTTTTATTTATATATGGTGGTGATATTTTTTTCAGCGTGTTTTCTCCCACTTTTCTCCTTCTCAATTCCTAAGGGTCCGATGCACAATTTATAATTATTGAAGTAATTATTATAGTTTAAATTGTCATTGAAACAATTATAATTATTTAAAGAGTTTCAATATTATAAATTGTTTTTTGTTAAACAATTGTTTTCTTAAACAATTATTATTATTTAAACAATTACAATATTATAAATGGTTATGTGAAATAATTATACAACATTTTAAATTGTTATTGAAGCTGTTACATCCATTGGAACAATTGCTTTATATTAAATTGTTACTAAAACAATTACAATTGTTCAAATTGTTATTGGAACAATTACCATATTTTAAACAGTTATTGTAACAAATAGCAAAATTGTGATTAAACAATTTTGGTTATTGAAACTATTACAGTCTATTAAAGTGTTATTAAAAAGAACGATAGCAATTTAAAAAATTTACATTGCTTATTAAGTATGTTTAAAAAAAAGATGCTCCCATTAAGTTCCCACATAAAATAAACTTAATTTAATATTTTCAATGCTATGTTCTTCGATTTGACTGTTAAGGAAAAAGGTTATTTTATTTCAATCGAACCTAAACGAAAAATGCAAGGACAATCACCTTCGAAATATATTTCTATCACCACGAAAAATTTCCGTCATGACTTTCGAAAGTGATACGCTGTTTATTGTTTTACACTTCACAAAAATATAATTATTTTCTCTTTTTTAGACTAATTAAAAACACGTGGCTTTTAAAGTTTAATTTTTTTGGAGAAAAATCTTTTTTTTCTTTCTAGTTTGTGTTTGCATTCCAAATCCCTGAATAAAAGAATTAGTTGCAAATATTATACAGATTAAGAGCAATAACCATTTATCAATTAAAACAATATATTATCTCATTTTGAATAGAAAAGTTATTTCAAATTATCTCGTGACGTAGATATCTCATCATTATTTAAGTACGTGAAGAGATAAGGATATGAACAAACGTCACTAAAAAAAAGAGGAATTTAATCGAAAATAAGTTTTAAGGAACCTAACTGAACGGAAACTATCAAGATCAGATATTGCCAGAAAATGATTGCGTCACTATTTCCATGTTTCATCACTGTTGCAATATTTTCACCCTGAACTGAAAATAAATTAAACGCAAAAATTTTTATTTATAAAATAAATTAGATTACATTATTATTTTTAAAGCAATGTATTACTTTTTTTAAATTTAACTCAATAGCATATTAATCAAATTATCAAAACAAAAATCACAAATCTCTTACCAAATCGGGATTGAATTTTCTAATTTATTTTAAGAGATACATTTATGATTTATTTACTAAGAAGCATAAATAAATCTGTGGCTTAAAACACGAACGTAAACAATAAGATCATTTTTATGTTCATTGTAGAGGTAAATTCAGCATCTGGCTTATACAAACTAACATCCCGATACATCGACATAAGAGATGATACATCATGAAATATCGATATATTTATGAACATCGCGATATCACTATTTGAAAAATTATTCCCAATATACATCATGACTATGACGCATGAAAAATATGGAATCGACGATATTGATTGACAGCCATAATGTCATGATCTTTATCGAAGACGATAACATCGCATTAATTAACAACTATAATTATCGAGTACGATAATATTTTATGATTATCATCAACGATTAAATTAAAGCAGGTTTAATTTATTATAAATGTCGACAATGATTATTATTAAATAAGGCAACATCGCGC